GCGTGGGCTGCACGACTTGGCACTAGTTGCAATCGATTTCTTAGGATGGATTTGTATATATTGAGCTAAAATTACACCTATTCTAGAAAACTCGAAGTTGGTGTTGTGTACACTACTTATATCCTATAACATTTTGACCCTATTTATCATAGTACCTGTGCCGGCGAACTCTTGCTCCGCAAGCAGTCAGTCGTCTTTGCCAAACAAGCTCTTCCCAGTTCTCTTTCTATTCCATGCTAGTAGTTGGTCGAAGTCGCGACAGGTATGTTCTGATGTCCAGATAGGACTGCCTGATTTCTTCTCATCATCCCACTCGTAGACCAATGGCGTCAGATCTGAATGGCACTGTATGGCCTGGCGTATATGCTCAATACAGTGATCTGTAACCATAGCAAAGCGATTAGCTTTCCGCAACGAAAAGAAGATATAGCAGAAAGGTGTAGGAAGACACAGGTGTAGATGAGAACATGTAATTTACAGAAACTCACTCATATGTACGAAGAAAAATTCGCTTCGCCGCGATTCTGGGAAGTAATGGTCTGCGTATACGGCCTTTCGAAGCTGGTTTACACAATGAAGAGAGTGTATGACGTCGATACTGCCCAACCATGTGAGCCGAATATCGGGAAAGAGCATTGCTTCACTCTTGAGCGATATATTGACAGGAAGGCTCAGGTAATTAAGGATTGTTTTCATACCTCACGCGGAACATCCCTGGCTGGCCAGGCTCATGCATAGTGCCGACTGGCATACCATTCTTCAATCTGGTTTCGCGGTCGTCCAATATAACAGATATGGCTTCGTTAGGTTAGTTGAGCCCAGAGCTAAGCGTGTTCTATAAGAGCAAATCCCACCAGCTTCTAAATCGTCCCAGTTTCGTTCTAGCTCTGGTGTTGGATTTCCCACGTAAAGTGCGGATGAGCCTGTGAGATTCAAGTACATTGTGCCATTAGGATGCTTTTCGACCCCGCCCGTATATACGAGGTTCTTCAGTCTGATATGAGGGACGGCGGCAACTGTGAGTCGATTGAAAATCAGCCACACGATATGTTTCTGGGGATGAGGTAGTGTTTACTCAGATCTGTTGCGAAGCCCGTCTCGTAAGTGTCATTCAGTGCGCGCCGCGTTCCGATTGTTGATCGCATCGAGACGATATTGCAAATGATGAGCAAGATGACAACAAACAGCCATACGAAGCGCTCTATGCGCCGCGAGATAAGACAACATCGAACGGCTGGCTCCGAGACTTGACTGCTATTAGAATCTGAACTTTCAAGCTTTTCATACTTTGGCCAGTCACACAAATGCTCTAGGAGACTCATGAATGCGACTCGTAGCAGCAGGACCGGTTGGTGACCCTAATTAGTGCAGTCGTACGGCTGTCTCTTATACGGTAAGAAGAACAAGATAGGCTATGTAACGTAGAAGCTGACGGCAATATTATACGCTAATTAAGGGACATAACTAATATCTCTCATTCCTCATTGATGTTGCCGGAGCGGCGAAAGCTAAAGTTGGACAGTAAGTGTGGCTGTGCAAAATTCCGGCAGGCATAGTAACAAGGCGCACACATCGGCTGACTTTTGAGTGGTTCAGCATAATAACCGAGCGTAAGCAATATACAGACTTCCTAGATAGCAGCCAGAGAGGGCTTTCTTGTGCCTTGAACACTTTGACAGCGATAAACTCGAGCCTTTGTAAGCAGGGAATGAATTCTTGTCCTTGTTACTCGTCCTATGCACTAAATTGAGTTCGTCAATTGACCTATCTACTCTTCATGGAATTCTCACCAACAGTTCCGAGGGAGCAGAGGGCGAAGCAGGCACCTTTTTTATCCGAAACTGACAGCTAAGGGCTAAAATCCGGAAAACCGTGAACCGAGAGGCGAGAAACTGACGGCCGACAACCGACAACCGACAACCGAGAACAGCCCTGCCGTGTCCGTGCACCGGATGCGCGCGAAATTTAACGCCATCTTAGTTATCCTTGCATTTTGACCACCTATTAGAAATCATTGCATTGTTAGACCGACTGAGTGTAAAGCGGATTTGAATGTCTCAAAGTAGGAGCGGAAATGAGATGCCTAGTTCGCAGTGTCATCTAAGGTACTACATCATCAAGGTGACCATCTACAGAGTACCCACACCTTGACAACCAAAAGTGAAGTGCCTAATTTCGTAACGTCGTGAGCCACACGGGTTCGTGAGACACTTTTGCCAAGCCCCCACCAAAACATCTTCCCTACCCCAATGTCGCAACAACAAGACCATTTAAAGCCCTTTACTGGATGTCACATACAGCCTGCCCTTCAAGCTCTCCAACAAGCCGCGAAGCTCTCTTTGCGACGCGCTGCAACTATCTATGACATTGATCGATCTACACTAAGCTGCCGACGCGTAGGACAGATTCCACAGGCGGATCGCTCGTCTAAAACAATAAATCTAACTAAGCTAGAAGAGGGCGTGGTTGTTGAGCATATACTTGAGCTTGTTACGCGCGGATTTCCCCCTAGGCTCGCAGACGTGGTCAATATGGCCAATTCTTTACGCGCTGAGCGTAATCTAGATTAGGTTAGACAAAACCGGCCTAGTACGTTCGTTAAACGTCGACTTAAGCTTATGGTGATGTTTAATCGCAAATACGACTATAAGAGAGCTCTTTATAAGGATCCTAAGACTATCCAAGCCTGGTTCGACCTAGTAGCTAACACGAAAGCCAAGTATGGTATCTAGGACGACGACACGTTTAACTTTGACGAGACAGGCTTTATGATGGGCTAGATTGCCCCTGGAGCGGTTGTTGTAGCTTTAGAGAGACGTGGACGGCCAAAGACTGTCCAGCCTGGCAATAGAGAGTGGGCAACGGTCATCTAGGGCATCGATGCGACCGGGTGGACGATTCCGCCCTTTATACTTAAGGCGCGCCACCATCTCTCAAGCTGGTATAAGGACGGCGATATACCCCAGAAGTGGGTTATTGGGGTCTCTGAGAACAGCTGGACGACCAATGAGCTCGGTCTTGCGTGGCTAAAGCACTTTGATGAGTATATAAAGAGGAGGAAGGTTGGCGGCTACCGCCTGCTTATTATTGACGGCCATAAGAGCTATAACTCGCTGCGTTTCCAAAAAATACTGCAAAGATAACAACATCGTTACGCTTTGTATGCCTCCGCACTCAGCTCGTCTCTTGCAGCCCCCTGATGTAGGCTGTTTTGCCCCTTTGAAGCAGGCCTATGGACGCCAAGTCGAATCGCTCATGCGTAGCCAGATCAGCCACGTCACAAAACAAGAGTTCCTACCTTGCCTTAAGCGGGCATTTGACACCTCATTTACTTCTAGCAATGTTCAAGGAGGGTTTCGAGGCGCTGGGTTGGTTCTATTTGACCCAGAACGGGTTATATCCGCCCTTGATGTCAAGTTGCGCACTCCATCACCTATCGACAACCAACCTTGGCTGTTGTAAACCCCCAGTAATACCTTAGAAGTAGGATCGCAATCAATGCTCGTAAAGCAGAGGATTCAAAGACAGACGAATAGTTTGCTAAAGTCTATTGTAGAGGCCTTTGAGAAGTTCTTAAAGGGGGCAGCTATTATTGTGCATAAGTTGGTGTTGGCGTAAAAGGAGATAGCTGCGCTTAAGTCAGCGAATGAGGCCGCAACGCGACGAAAGTCTTACAAAAGAAAGCGGGTTTAGGTAGAGGAGACCTTATTAGTTGAAGATGGGGCGCGCTTGACCGCTTGTTAGGAATTTGGGGCGCGTAGTGATGGTAAGAAGCCAAAGAAGCGGGTGCGCGTTGAAGTGGGTGAACCATCTTAATGGCGGCGTGGATAGTGCAATGGGACTGGGCATAACGCGCGAACGTGCAAGTAGGTAGTAGAAGCAGTCTCTGAATAATATTTTGTATCGCGTTGCACTATATAGGGCCAAAGTGGGCTACTCTGGGCTATAATGTAGTGGTTTTGGAGGGGGCTAGGCAAAAGTGTCTTACGAACTAATGAGGGACGTTAATAGTATTACTAGATAGCTACCTGACAAGTCTACTAATCCGTATAGATATCGAGGACTTCTTGAACAGGATCCTAATCTACGAGAGTAGTAGTTTTATTTCTTAGTCTAAAAATTACCTCTGGGGTGTAACGGCGCAGGTAAGACTACTTGGATTAGTAATGGTGGTAGTGTCACTCAGAGGCATGTGGGAGTGCGTGGGACATTAAATGAGCCTTGATTCGAATAGACACCTATAGGCCTTGTACGAAAGGATAT